GCAGGTAAAGTAATACAAAACAGTTTGTAGGACCAGGACCGGTGTTATTATTCAGCCCCCAATGCGGTTAGTAAAAAGGGTGTTTTACTCACATTAAGCAAAAGAGAGTACAATATAAATTTTTATTTTCTGCTGCAGAAGAACATTCAAGCAAAGAATCTAGTGCATAATCAAATTCATCCAGAGCTCATTTCCTTGATCTGAACTGCATGATAAACTTAAAGAGCTATTTATGGAGCAAAGACGCATCAAACTCAAGGTGGTGGCCATGACTTCACAACTGAAGTCTCCTCCCTTTTCATTTCTATCTCCTGCAGACCAGTGCCCCAAAGGGCTCAGACTTCAACTGTGTAGCTGCACCCACTTCTTTTCACGCACCTCTCCTGCAAGCACCATTATCGATGGACTTTTCATTTTATCCTCCCCGTGAAGGGATCCGTGAAAGTCTTTGAGATCTCGGCTCGGCCTGTGGCATCAATGGCTTTAGCCCTATGCTCTCTTCATAAGGTCCAGATTGTGACATGCATGCTCTGGAATGATTACTCCTGAATTATTTCAACTTGGAGACACACTCGTGTGCCTTGCGCGTTTGCGAGGGCACCTCGAAGCTAGGAAAAATCTCAGCTTGAGCAGAGCTGTACTTTGAAACGGGGACGCTTCCAATATGCTGGAAGCAACCTTTCCCGCCAAATCTCGCATGTTTAGGATGTCTCCTGGCGCACCTTAAGTTCGTAGCATTGTTATCTAATGTGTCTGACAGTAACTTCAAGTCCTCAAATGATGTTTTGTCTGTCAATCTTCATCTGATTCGCTCCCATCCTGCATCTCTAAACATCAGTCCCCATTGGTTCCTAGCAACCTTTATGTTCTTATTGTAAGTAGCCTGTGTGTAAAACTAACTCCTAAGTCGATTAAAGAAAGGGTTTTACAAACTGTCTACTTATAGAGATATTCATGGGGATAAGGCAGACATGTCAAACACAAGGCCTGGGGGCCAGATGCGGCCCGCGAAGTGGTTTCATGCGGCCCGCGGAGCCATCCTGGAAACAGTGAGGGAACGGCCCCTGCTGTCTTGGCCCTGGCCCAGGCCGGCCGGGAGCCAATGTACAATTTTGTGGTGGCCATCTATGCTGAAACACATTCAGTCTTAGCTCCACAAGGCCGTCTGGAAACAGCGAGGAACCAGTCCCTGCCACGTCGCCCCCGCCCCCTGGGTGCATGCTGGGGAGGTGTCACCCTTTGTGAGGAATGAAGAAATGGACCATGCCTTGGCGCTTGCCCCGGTCCCACCCCCTTCTGCCAGAGACCCTCAGATCTGTCCCACTCCTGCCCAGGCCCCCACAGGCACCCTTGACACGAACGATGTAGAGCTGGCCATGCCCACCCAGTAGGCCACACCACTCCATCCATGCCCACCCAGTAGGCTGCACCCACCCTGGCCACACCCACCCGGCCCTCTGAGGGCAACCGCAATGCTGATGCGGCCCTCAATGAAATTGAGTTTGACACCCCTGGGATAAGGCATCTGTGCAGTCAAAGCCCTGCCTCCATTTTAGGTATGCCGAAGGCCTTTGATTTTCTTACTTGCTCTCTGGACACCCCCGGGCCAATCCCGTTATACAAAGGGAGAAAATGAAGCAGAAAGAGGCGGGGTGTGTGTGTGTGTTACACTTCAATCTGATGCTTGAAATATCAGCTCACCCTTTTCAGAAAATGAGATTTACTTTGTCTAGAAGAGCAGTTTTTTTTGTCCCTAAGTTCTCATACAAGCTTCGAAACCCCAATCTAGATTTTTTTCCCCTAGGCTCTTTGGACTTGGCATATGGATGTCATCAGTTTCAATCATGGTCAAAGAGCTTCTTGAGGCTTGTTGGATCAAGTCACTTGAAAATGCCAGATGGAGGATTTGGGAAGGGTGGACTTCAAGTAAGACCATGTTTGCTCAAGTTCTCTTTTTCACGCAAGAGTGGAAGATTTGGGAAGAATGGACTTCAAGTAAGACCATGCTTCCTTGAGTTCTGCTTTTTGATGAAAGACTGGAGGATTTGAGAAGAGTGGACTTCAAGTAGACCATGCCTATTGGAGTTTTGCTTTTGATGCAAGATGGAGGATCTGGGAAGGGTTGACTTCAAGTAGACCATGTTTACTCAAGTTCTCTTTTTGATGCAAGATGGGGAATTTGGGAAGGGTGAACTTCAAGTAGACCATGTTTACTCAAGTTCTCTTTTTCATGCAAGAGTGGAGGATTTGGGAAGAATGGACTTCAAGTAAGACCATGCTTACTTGAGTTCTGCTTTTTGATGAAAGACTGGAGGATTTGGGAAGAGTGGACTTCAAGTAGACCATGCCTACTGGAGTTTTGTTTTTGATGC